GCGGTGCTGGTTTGCTAGTGTGCTCGTGTGTGGTGTGCTGGTGTGCTGGCGCTGGTGGGGGCGGCGGCAGTGGTGGTTTTGGTGCTCCTCATCTGACTCCCCTGCCTTTGGCAGCTACAGGTGCCGAAAGCTCTGCAACGGCGAGAGCTTGCAGTGTCCAGCCTGAAGCGAGGTGAGTTCCGTTGTGGCCGCCTGGGCGAAACCGGCGCCCACCTCCAGGCATCTGGCTTTCTCCATGTCTGGGCTTTCAGAAATCAACATTGTTGGCGCACCTGGTGTCTGCCAATTACCATGCAACAAAGATTCATCCAGCAAAGTCTCCGCTGTGGCCCTGCAAAATAATTACTGATTCGTTCTATCGTCTCAATCCCTTCAGCCCCTGGAACATAAGACAGCGCTCAGGCCACCAGTGCCCGAGCGCGGAGCTGTCGAAGAATCTTGCCGTGCCTTGCAAACTGCATGCATCGCATTGCATATGTTCCAATGTCCCGTCTGCAATGCTGCATTATTGGAATGGAAATCTCTCCTCTCCAGAGCATGCAGGACGCAGCAAGAGCAAGCATCCCTCAGGATCTGGCGCCTCGAGAGTGCCGTTGCGGGCTCACCTCCCAGAAGCGTAGATTGCAACCTGTTGTCAGCTGAAGGTGTTACGCGCAAAGCGATGAAATCAGTGATTCGTTGTAGTCACATTGTAGTCCGTCACGTCTATCCGATCTTCTTTCCGAGGCACTGCTCCCGCACGCACCTGTGACCTTCTCTAAGTGTACATAGAGCTGCATAATGACCCTTGCCGACGAATTTTGGCGACAAGAAGCTCACCAAAGAGGAGAAGACCAGCAGAGCTCTTTTCGTAGGCATCCTTCGCGGGCTGAGAGCTGGTACATGGTGACTCGGCTCTCATGCGGCCTTGTAGAATCGAGTATGTAGGCTTGAGCATGTTGACACTGTGCTGATACGGAGTGTGTTGAATAAGTACTTCTGTGAGCTGCTTTTGTAGTCAAGCAGCTGCCTTTTTCCCTACTTCTGCAAATCTTTCTGTTGCAGCCTCAGAGCACAGTAAACTACCGAAGGAAAGGCCATCATAACGAAGTAGCTACAGAGGTTTCAGCCCAAGCCTTCCGACGATAGGTTCGATTGAATACGGTGCAGTTGCCTGTGCTGCTTTGATGTCGCGTCGTCGCTATGAGCCTCCAAGCAATGATTAATTGTGAGGCTGTACAACAAATTCACCAGGATGCACGGCGCCAGTTGAAAAGTTGGTCTCGAAACCGCACTCGACACCTCACATATCTTAAATCTTAAACTACATCGTCCACATGTTCGATGGTCGCTCCGAAGCCATGAAAGAAAATGCCCGCAACTCTCAATCTAAAGCATCAGCGCACCGGCTCCTCCCATTCAGCATCCTTCAGCAAGTCCCGAATCTGTTCCACCATGAAATTGAAATCTTCCGCTAGATCTGGGTTGCCTCCAGCATACGTCGATTGACCATAACGGCATGTCTCAAAAATGTAGCTGTCGTTCCCTTCTTGGCGCGGCCAGTATCATGGGCATAAGAATGTGTGGTATGTTGCGGGACGCTACTGCATTACTTCTGAGAAGCATCTCACCACCTGTGGAGGGCAGCAAGATGTAAGCTTCAGGATTGTGTTGGGAACTGCTATAAAGTATTGTTTGAACATCGTGCCTCTTCCCCTAACCGAAGAACTACTTGAATATGTTGCACGAAGACGCACCTGCGAAGGCGACGTCAGGCTCTGTTAATCCTGAGGCAACAAGCTGTTGAAAGTGCTGCTGAGGCTTAGGAAGGTCTGCCTTGCTCAGGCTTGATGGATCCGTGCAGTTTCAGAACAGTTGCGGGCAGGGTGTACGGGGTTAGGCTTTTCGAGGGAGTAAGGGACGTCAGCACATATGCGCGGGGCAGTGTGGGTTTGGACATCTGACTTGGATTCTGGAATTCTATCATTTTGGGGGGCGAGCGCTCCCAAAGCTCCATAATTGACATGGCTGTGACACTAGCTGCTCTGGTCACCCAGTCGGACACTTCTGTGTCCCTCTGTGCTTCAGACTTGCATGCTGTAAGGCCTAATCAAACCTTTTCCTTCTTCAAGCCATAATTCCCAAACTACTCCAAACCCCGCGAGGGCACTCAACCCATGATCTGCCACCCAGGCTCCCATGAACAGCAGCAGCCGTCTCGCTTCCGAAGCCTGCTGCTCTCCCAAAGTCTCACACAAAATTCAGATGTACAAGGTTTCGTTGTAGCAGCCCAAAACACTGTAATTCTCACTGGTAGGCAATCTCCTCAACAGAATCCACAGTCTGGAGAGACTTTTAACAGAAGACTATAGATGTGCAAATTTCGTAGTTCTGAAAGTTGCGTTCTGACAAGCCGGACGACTACCGCTGGCCACACTCGCAGTGAGAGAATGTGTTGAAGGCCTTTGAAGACTCACCGCATCGATGAGCCGGCTGCATCTCTTTGGCAGCTCGTCTGCATTTCATTCGGAAGGGAAGCACCACATCTCATGGTGCAGCCTTCAATGGCGCCCTTAAACAGCCGTGCCTCCCACATATGGCTATTGCAGATGCACGAAAGCGCTGGTATCTCAAGCACGAGATCGGCAGCAGCTGCCAGCAGTGCCAGCACCACCGGCGATGACATGCAGAGGTCTGCAGATTGTGGCCTAGTAGCGGAGTCCTGCGCAGGCAGTGTACGTCGGCAGTGCAATTTACAGTAGTGCAGTGATTTTTTCCGGGCTCTCTGCAGGAATCAGTGTTCAAACCCTCGAACCAGACTCGACAGAAAGAGGACTGAAGAAAGATATTGCACCGGAACAGAACAGCATATCAGCTCGGGCCAAGTGGAACCCGTTTTTCGGCTCGGCAGCCGTGTCTTTCCGAGTGTTGTTTCTTTGATTCTTGCCATCGCGCTTTGTAGGGTATGGCTTCGTGAATTCGGAGAACATGATGTCTACTGGAGATCCCGCATGTCTGGCCCTCTCAGACTTCTTGACTGATTGTAACTCAGTAATCATGAGAGTCTCCACTGCTCAGCCGAAGCGCTGACTGTCTGTGAAGCTCTTCAGCAACAATGCTGGCTGAACTCGGAAAATTCCGCAGCCGGCAAGATTCCAGCATTTCTCAAGCCCTATACTTCCAAAGAAGGGCACAAGACTAGTTGCCAGTGACGCAAGCTGTGTCCTGAGGCAATCTGGGCTGATGGCCGAAGACACCTGAAGATGCTAGCGCTTTTTGCCTATTTGCAGGATTAGCCTGGAATACGTGAAAGGTTCCCTCCATCCAATTGATGCGGCCAAGCTGCCCTGGAAGAGATCTCCATAGCAGCTGTCGTCTGCCACCCTAAGGCCTAAGGGCCTTCCCTCATAGCTCGCCACTGGTGGGTCTCAAAGGCCGGTCCTCTGCGCCCAAGGCGGCTGGAACAAACCCACTCCAAATTGAGTTGATGGGCAATTGCCTCCTTCACATGTCAAGCGGAAAGGATTCAGAAAGGCTGTGCATTGTCGATATTGTTGGCCAGATGTGGGGCGAAGGATGAGCTTCCACGTCTTGACTCAAAAGAAACCAGGGCTGGTGTCTTTGAGCCCTGGTAGCTTGAGCCATGATGTAGACTTTGCTTTCCAGGGGCAGGCGACACGCAGTTCTGTGAAAGCTACAGGAGCTCTCCAACAAACACCACTTTAAAACGAACGAGCGCCTACCAGAAGGCCAGGAATATCAGCATGTGCCAGCCCTGAACAGTCGCCCTCAAACCTTGCAAGTTGTAAGCCATGGCCATGGCCATTCCTCCACTGAAACTGGCGGAAGCAGTAGCGTCTCTTGTTTCATATCCACGTACTCATCAAGATGTAAAGTTCGCGCAAATGCCTTCGGCTTTCTGTGTGGAAGTCTACCCAAGCCAAGCTCGAGCACGAAAACCCCTCGAAACCTCGTGTATTTCATAGGCAGGAATCGCCCAACAAATCTCAAACAGATAATTACAAGCTGACCCTGCAAGAGGGACGCTCAGGACTCTATCCACAAAGCTACCGTACTAGAACATACACGTACCAGGATCTGGCGGGGATGAACAACTACACCTGGCAAAACAGAGCTGAAGACATACGTTTTTGATTAAAATCCCCAACAGATCCGCCAATTCCGCTCATACTTTAATTCCACGTGAAGCCGTCGTCTCTGCGTCAGCATGTCAGAAGCCACAGTCCTCTTTTTTGCCATTATCGATGAGCAGGGATTCAAGGAACACAGCTCTCAAACGCCATAAACCCCCCCGAACCCTCTAAATCTCAGAGTCCATGTTCTTCATCCTTTATTTTCAAAACTGCAAGGCTTGGGCTCCGGCAACGCCCCTCAGGAGCAAGGGGCGGCTGACCCGCCGTTATCGGCCTTAGCTCCCCTTTTTCTGCGCTGGAGAGCTGTAAGGTAAGGGCCCTACTTCAGCCTTCTTGTGTGGTTCTGTTTGGGGGGGGTTAGTAAGAACATCTAGTCCCAGAAACATGGGAAACCTAATAGGGAACCATGCTGTAGGGTCTGGGTAGGTTTGAGCTTCTCAGCTCTAAGCTACCCCGCTGCGCAAGCAATACGTCCAGGCATCCTGATCTTTACTCAGAACCAAGGCCTGCCTCGCACATCGTGAAAGAATTCTGTCCCAGAATATCCATTGGTAATAATCACACAGAAATGGATCCACATGATCCACATCTTTGGGGCACCCCGAACCTCGCTAATCACGCATCCCATGCTTCGCCCAATCATCCAGTCTTGCAATGTCTCAAGGCCTGTACCTGCAATGGGTTTCGGCATGGCAAGGCGACGGTCCGAACATAAAGAAAGACACCAAAGTCATCCTTTTGCCGTGTGAAAGATAGTTAACGCCAGGGGTCTTTGCAAGGAGAGAAAAGCTCCTTCTAAGGGAATGCATCACAGCTTGCCCCAAATAGGTAGGCATGACCATGCGCAAAGCAAAGTAAAAACAGGTCCCAACCCACTCACGCGAAAACTCATCCTTTTTGACAGCATCCAGCCGTATCCTCACGGCGCTTCGCAGGTTGGCCTGCTCCTTGGGAGAGAACTCTAGCACTTCTGGCAGGACTTCATCAAGCACGCTGCGAGAGGTTCTGCTGCATGTACTATGTACTACAGGGTGTGGCTGTTGGGGGGTGGAAAAGAAAATGGAAACGACCTTCGGAGGAGGGACATGGAGACTCGAATGGAACCTCAAATGTAAGCTGAAACGAATCTTAATTGAAATGGAAACCAGATTTGGTTTATTGGTTGTTAGTAGGGAAGAAGGAATGGAAAATTATGTGGAGACCACAATCCTGCAGCTCCAGTCCATGCAAAAAGCAGCATGCTTTGTTTCTGGAGCAGTGGAAGTTGCCATAACTTGAGGCCCCAATATGGACCTCCCATATATTACATATTATGGTCCTTTAAACAGTGAGGTGATCTCTTCTTGTGGGTGGAGAAATGTAGGTGAGGTATTCAGAGATCCTTACAGCTGTCGTTCCGCACCAGCTAGAAGACGGAGTTCCAATAAAACAAAATACGCCCAGCCACCTGGTCAGCCTCTGCGGACTGGCCCGGAGACCACACCTCAAAAGCCTCCAAGCAATGCAAACGAGGGTACTGGAAGAACAGTAAGAGCGCAACAATCAACCTGTCCCGAAAGTAATAGCAGTAGCAGTAGCAGTAGTAGTAGTAGTAATAATAATAGTAATAATAGTAGTAGTAGTAGTAGCAGTAGCAGTCATTGTCGGCGTCGTCGCCGTAGTAGTTGTAATGTAGGCTGGTAGTAGCTGACAGTACCTGGACCCTTCGGTGCTTATGGAGTGAGGGCATGGATCCTCTAAATAGCTCGCGGATGACCCGTGATCCCCTGAAGCACTCATGCCCAGACCTAACATTGCAGTTCACCTTGCTGTGTGGTTTAGGACAAAAGCGAGCGTCTCGAATCATGCTTTTTTTGCGCTGCGCAGTGGGTGGCAAATTCCGCTAGCAAAACTTCAACGTGAAGCCAAGGTTTTGGGCTCCACCGAAAGGTTTACGGTCAGGAACAACGACTGGAGCACAAGCTGAAGCTGATGCAGAGCCAAATCAAACCTGAAACTTAACAATGTAAGGCCAATGTAAGGCTGACATATATTCTTAGCTTGAGAATATGACACCGTGCTCTGTGAACTAACTTCTCGCAAATGCAGATGCATCAAAGGATGCACCTTCAGACTGGAACTCAACTCAAAATACTTCCGAGGCGTGTTGCCCGCAATATGAAATATGTTGTTAATGCACCTTAACTCATTCCGAAAGCGTCTGCAAGATCAGCAAATACCTTCCATATTTGCAAGCTAATTGATGGGCCTCAGTGTGGCGTAGGTAGAAGGCCAGGCGATCAAAGGAGTCTGTCCGGCAGCGGTGCCACTGACGATAAACCCGGGGTGTGCAGGCGACATCCTGACTCAACAGGAAGCGCCACAAATAAGAGTCGCTACTCGCAACGACCTTGTTTTCGAAGCGCAGCCTATATCGACAACCAGCCCCGCCCCCCTTATCGCAATCTGCGGCGAGATGCATCGTCCGCAACGCTCAGCCACGAAGGACTCCGTGTGAGGGCACATCCAATGCCAAACTTGTCTGGCTTAGAATCCCAGTCTTCAATTCGGTAGGGCGCTTTGCAAAGTAAGGTACAGCATGTCTGGCCCAGCCTAATGAGATGCGAAAAGCCAGGCCTCCACTAGCACATAGCCTTCACCACCTGCGGAAGGGAACCCATGTACGAGGCATGTCGCATGCCGCTGCAGCCACATGAACATATGATCCACTTGTCTCACTGGTACCTTCAGAAATCTAGCGGGCAGGCAGGGGCGCGCATAGATATATATATATATATACATATATATATATATTTCCAGCTATANNGCCCCCCCCCCCCCCTTCTCTGTTTCTTGCAGCCCTACCTTGGTTGTCCCGGCTTGCTTTGCCGCTCTGAAGGAGCTCCATCATGGTCCTCCGGCATAGCATGTCATGATCCAGAAGTTCTACCACGAAATGGTCCGCAGGTAGGCGTGTGAAGATTTCGATTAAGGAGAGACAAGGCCGCCAAACAAGATAGCACTTATCTGCAGAATGGGTGTGGTCTGCTCACTTTCCTACCACAAAGGACCGCATGACGTGGCCTCTTGCTTTCCGATGTTGCCAAGCCTCTTGAGGCGAACAATTTCTGTTTTACACAGGGTCGCTGGGAAGAAACACGTGAAACGTTGAGTGGCCAGGCAGTGGATGCGACGAACTGCCAGACACTTCATGTGCTCCGGTAAAATTAGTTTGAGAGCATGTCTAGCTTACTGTGCGCCAAATGTGGCACGGCATCCTTGTTTCTCATCTACCCCTGGCCAGCCCACCAAAGCCTCAGACAAGCAAGCCTGTCCTCTGAACAGCCACGCGCAGCTTGGTGAAGTCTTCGACACGCGCTGACACGTCCTCAGGGACAAGCGACATTGCGTAAAGGAAGATTGAAAGAACACAGCTTGTCCAACGGACCCCAACAAATTCTTGAAACTCTGATGCGGGCGGTCATTGACAACAGCGCCTATACAACTCGACTGACCTGTAAATTCGAAACACTTATCCCAAAATAGCTTACATTTCGACCACCAGCCTCGTCCGAGGGCTCACACAAACTCACCCACGTTTGGGAGCCTTCACCTGCGCTCGGGAACAATTGCCTGTGGTATCATCAACGTCTTAAATTCCTAGCATGTTTGATAACCTCGAGCCTCAAGTTCAGCTGCTTTGCAATTCTTAGCTAGCTTTTTGTTGCACATGCCTTCTCGGCGTAAGGCCTATAAAAGGATGGGTGCGCCTTCCTGCAGGTAACCACTTATCATCTTGAACCTTTGGGCTGACATTGCAAAGCTGAAAACGATCCATGCTCCGCCAACGGATCTTCCGGTTCAAAATGTCAGGTTGCATTACTAAGGGCCATGTAGTATCCTTAGCATCAACGTATATTACGACTGCGAACCACCAAACGCTAAAAAAGAGGCGACTGACATCCCGCCTGCCCTCTGTAACTGCAACGGGCGTCTATCTCGAGATTCTCAAAACAATATAATCCCAGTTTCCATTTCATTTTCCATGTTCTTTTCCATTTATTCTCCATTATTGGGGTAATATTGGGTACCCTAGTATCCCCAAATCACCTCGTGAAAGCCCTGGAAAGCATCCCTGCGGCCTTCTTCTTGCAAGCGAAAGAGAGTGCATCTGTGAGAGATGAAGTACTTCAGCTTGTCTTGCCACTCCTGAACAGTCAGGAGCAAGTTTTCAGCTACGGCAGGCTAATTACCAGATAGCCGCGGTCATTTAAGTTGAATGTGTCGCGCGTAGGCAGTCTCTGCAAGCCAGCTTGATGCAGTGGAGTTGCGCGCTTCTTCCGCGGAGTTCCCTTGCCAGACGGGCGCACTCCTGTAGCACAGACCTGCTTCCAAAGCCTTGGTTCTCAGGATGTGTTGGGAGCTCTCTAGTGAGTTGGACAGGGACTCTTATAGGTATGGCATGCTGATACCTTGCCGCCTACAAGTCTCGTGCTGTGCGCTTACCCTGTGAACAAATGCTACAGTAGCACCTGAATGTGCTCTTGTCGTGATGGGTTTTGAGATTTGCAACCTGGAAGCTCCCGCACGCGTGGGTCCGTTCCCACCAGCGCCACAGGTGCCGCTGCCTGAAAGGGGGACATATGGAACCTGCCTCCTTTCCAGGCAAGTTTTCTTGGGATTTGGGGCTTTCAGCTGCTCACTCATGCAAATTCTGGGGTTTGCGCAGCATTTGGTTTCCATGATGGTCGTGAAGCCATTGAGGACAGGCTGAATATGATACAGTTGCCTTGGTCTGCGCGACGGGCGAAGACTCCAAGAAGCGGCGAATGGCTGCCTGTGGATTCATGAAGGGGTGTCTGCCATCGCTACACCTTCTAGAAGTTAGACTTTCCTCGCAAGGCGGCTACTGCTGATGTAAAACATGCACATGCTATGCTTTGCATGCGAGCAGTGTAAGCGTAAGCGAGATGTCCAATCTTCGCACAAACCATTTCAAGCACACGCAAAGTGTTGTTCTTCTTCGTCTTCGTAATATCATCTTTTAGTACTACTGTTTTGCTATTGCTGATATGACTGTTCTTGTTCTAACTATTTCCGTTCTCGTTGTGGTTGGCTGTTCTGAACCCAGGTGCCTCAAGGTCGCAGCTGGGGTGGGCGCACAACTCTGATGCCTTTGCGCTGCATCCTGCAGAGGCCATGGCAGTTTTCCCCAGTCAAGAACCACGCAGGGGGCCATAGATGGAGGGGTTGTGTGGGGGTCAAATCCAGTTACATAGGGTTTAGTGCTTGCCAACAATAACTTCATTGGGGAAGGCAAAGAACACGATATAGAACATAGAAACTACCACGTTGCTTAGCTTGGGGGTCATGGAAAATCAAAGGGAAAGGAACATTTGTCTTAGAGCTACATAAAGGAATTTTGTGGTGTAGGGACGAAGACATAACATTTTGAGGTCTATTGAGGTACGCTATACCACAGGCATACAAGAAATACAGGAACATAATATTGGTAATTGGTCAGGCTTCCACATTTTACATTTCAGGTTTCTGTGCTCGTGGTATGGCAGCCGGCTTAAGCTCTAGCAGTGTCGATTTTTTGTGTTTCCCAGAATTAGGGCCACCTTTTTGGGATCCGTATTATAATGATTACAGCATTCAGGGGTCCATATTGGGGTCCCCGCCATTACAAAGCACGCAACTGTAGCTGCATCTTTGACTGCTGGGAAAATTAAAAGCACCCTGAGTCATTCCTAGCTTGGGCAGCTTGAAACACGTGCCGTCTGTATGGGGATGTTGCTCCACAATTTGACAGCCAGGTTCTACTTTTCACTACAGAATCCCAGTAGTTGTTGCATTCATCTTGTTTTGCACTTGCTTCTCCATTCTTGGGAATGTACCAGCTGCACAGACCTCTTCTTGAATTTTTAGGTCTCTAGGAGCTTGGCTTGGCGTAGCAGAAGTGTGTCACCCAAGTATGGGTCACAAGCCAAACCCTGTGATGGATGAAGTGAAGTCCCCCTAGGAGGAATCCCACTACTTTTCTGGCAAAAAACATGAATTCTTTGAACATCTCATCTGAAGTCTGAAGCTGAATCTGGTCCTAATTGAAAACATCCCTTCGAATGCCTCCATCCTCTCTCGGCAGAGGTGTCCCCAGAAATTCGCCATCATCCCAAACTTCGGAAGGCCCATTGCCATAGCTGACCTGCCCCATACTTACTGGCATTTTGGGCAGTTGTCTGATTTGAGTGTCTCCTGAAGCACCCCTTTTGCTGCTACGACCGGTCTTGCAGTACCCCGAAAGCTGGATGGGTTATGTTACTCAAGGAGTCACCCGCAGTTGTTGTTGCACGTGCCGACACCACTACATGCCTGTGCCTGTTTATTGCCGTGATAATCTTGATGTTCTTACATGCTGCCTGCATGATGCATTACATAACTGCTCCGTAACGCATGAGGAAGCAAATCTTGGCTCGCAAATTTAGTATGCCAACAGCAAAGCCCTTTCTTGCACTGCTTTACCACTTTATCGGAAAATTTGCACATCAAGCAGCACAGGTTTGATCACGGTTGTTTTTGCTACCTGCAACTCTGCATGATCAGTGAAGTCTAGGCTATGACATTGCATTCCACAGGTTGTATCCTGAACCCGAAGCAGAATCAGCCAGCAAGAAACTGCGTGATTGGTGGCGCGCCAGCAGTGCATCCACACATATCTTCTGCAATTGAAAATTCGAGTAGCTAAGCCGTCAGTAGCTCTAAGCTTTCACACAGCCCAAATCCTCAAGTTTGCTCTGCCCTCAGTGCGGAAATGCCAAAGCACGGCGGTTGCGGAATCTTTCAGACTTGTGAAAAGCTGGACTGAAGAGCATAGCACTTTCCGCTAAGGAAATTCAAGGCCTGCACAGTCAAACCTGGCCATGTTTTGCAGAGCTGGCGCAGGGCACCTAAGCCTCAGAAGTCGCACTGGCCCACCCAGTCAGTCAACTCTACTCACCTAGCAGTAGTGTGTATCCGCAACTCTTCCCGGGTTGGGTTGGACAAGCTTGCATACAGGGGCCCTTTAGGTTGACATGCTCCCATGGCTTCCTATCTGGCGCGGCCAAGGCACATGACCAGCTTGGAGCCCTTCGAGTGAAGATGAAGACCTGCTAAAAGCAAGGTTGTTAGCAGGTAGCAGCGGCAGCAGATGCGAAATCGGAATTCGGATCAACATGAACCACGGGCAGTCGGCTGGAAATCTTCATACCCGTTTTTTGTACAGCCTGAAAGCACCGGATAAGTTGAGTGTCGCGCTTCCTGCAAGCAAAGCTAGTGGCCACAACCTGCTCCAACACCCATCCGCAAATTGAAGCAGCTCGAAAGTCGCTCTATGGACGCAGAAAAATTAAGCGCTGCGGGTGTTGGAGGATTTGCTATTTCTCACTCCAGGAGATTAGAGAAAATCATGAAGTTCGTCGGAATGCTCTAAATTCTGCCGGCTTCAAACTACCTAATTACCTCGTTAGATCATCAGCAAAACCGCACGGCGATGCGACGCTGAGTACCTTCAAGTAAAGGCTGAGTTTGAACCCCGTTGCAATGCTGCGTATCCCTTACAAACATGGTCGAAAAGAACAGAACTAGGATCCCAATGCTGGGTACTGTACTGTAGCCCCCCCCCGCCCCAGAAGGACTCCCTGGCCTCACCCAACACATGGGCCTGGCTGGCAGCTGTGGCGTTGAGTTCGTCAGTCAACCTGTGCTGGGGTGGTGTCTCGCGAGCGGTGAGCGACATGATTGTCATGAAACTTGGTACGTGCGGAGTTGCAGGCAAAGAGACCACTATGTGAAAGTGCCAACATGTTTCTCGTCCTACTTGACTTCCAGGATCCTCTGGCCCCAGGGCCCCAAGGTGCCTGCTGAGAATCTTGAACTCTGCGCGAAGTGCCATGGCTTCGCGGGCTGCCTGAGCATGCGAATCAAGGTTTAGTCTTTGACAAAATTTGTACGACCGCNNCCCCCCCACACACACACACACACTCTTTCCTTCATTGTTTGGGCTCATGAGTCTCGGCCTCTGGGCATAATCAGGAAAAGTGGCCACCTGCTCTGAATTTTGTGCCTGGCTGCAACTAGCTGCCCGGCCTGTAAAGCGGCTGGCAGTACCTCACCTGCATTGTTTCGAGATATTGATTGCAGGAACAGCCATCTATTAAAACCACACGCTCCTTGACATTGAAATCACTGAATAGCACAAGAATCCTAACTTTGAAGAGCTCTTGCAAGCACGCGCCCCCCAGAGGTGGTCTGATTGAGACATGCGCCTGCCCTACGGTATCTCCTTTACCAAGATAAGAGGATTCGTAAGTTGCAAGAGGACCATTCTTTCCAGGAACTGGCACA